TTTAAAAATATTACAAATTTTATGAATGTATACATTAGCGAATATGTTTTTAGTACTTATAAAAACAAGCTTATTTTGATTTATTACACTATATTTAATTTTTTTTATTGCACAATGGTTCTATTCAGTCAGTAATAATTGGCTTATTGAAACAGTTAAATAAAACATATGATTTTGTGAATTTTAAAACATAAAACTACAAAAACACTTCTCAATAACATATATTTTTCCATTGTAACAGAAAATGCTATTTTTATAAAACTTTCTGGTTAAGGGTGATATTATTTATGAAACAGGTGCGTTCATATCGACTAAATACAACAAGCCATTTATTCACAAAATAACTTTATTAGTAATTATTGCTCAATACATCAAACTTTATTAGTTTATGTAAAAATTATAGTAAATATTAATTGACTACCTTCTGAACAATTTATTGTTTTTGCTGACAATTAATTGGAGTAAATATAATAAAATTATCAACAATTGTGGACTTATTCAATTATTATTCTGATATTTGGCTATGGTTATATTTTGTAAATTAATGGATGTTATTGGCGCATCTGTTTGTATATGAAATAGTTTGTAGGGTCTTCCCAGCGTGTTGCCCTTTGCTTTGTTATCCTCCGAGCCGACTAATTTTATTTTAACGATGAGAAATAAAATGAAGACTAGCTGTAAGTGGAATTCTGTCTTAAGGCAATTAAGGCATCGTGCCTTAAGGCAAATTGCTGGAACTTCCCGTACCAAAAATTATTATTTTTTTAAAAACAATTAACATTTTTGAAAAAAAATTACTTTGAAAGAATAAGATTTTTGAGAAACTATAAATTGGACAAAAAATAACTTTTCTTTGAAAAAAAAAATTTTTTTTTAAAAAAACATTTTTTTTTTTGAAAAAAATTTTTTTTTTCTGTATTTTGACATATTGTAGAAGATCTGAAATTTTTTTGAAAGCAATCGTACTGCTTTAACTGCATAGGGACAAAATATAAAGCGCGTATGCGCCGCGTCGCTGTCTAACGCATAAGCATTGGTACGGAACCCATAGAAATGTTAACAAAATGTATACTTATTGTTAAAATCTCTATAAAATATCTGATAATTTGATGTGCATATGTCTAATGATCATTTTTGACCGCCAAATGGCTCATTTTTTTACTTTTTCCTCCATATCTCCGAAACCGCTAGACCTACCTTCATGAAAATTTTATCGATTCTTCACCTTGTCAATACAAGTGAAATGTTTTTTGAATTATTCAAATCGGACGCTCCGTTCTCTTAAAAACTGAGTTACCGTTTTCGGCACTTTTTGCCCCGTATCTTCGGAACGGCTAGACCTGCCTTCGCCAAAAACTAATCAGCACGTCTCCTTATCAATACGAATCGAATGTTTTTTGAATTATTCAAATCGGTTGATCCGTGTTCCCGAAATCGTCGACGAAAATTTGTATCCGCACATACATACACACACGCACATACATACATACATACATACATACATACATACATACATACATACATACACACACACACACACACACACACACACATACATCCATTTTTTCTAAGGTATGCCAAAATGTTCAGAAACCTTTGAAACGTAAAGATATATAAAAATTTTCATTTTCGATTTTTTTGCGATTACTATAACTTGCCCTACGGGAAGTTAAAAATATTACCTTTTTATAACAGATATTAATATATACCAGGGGCGTAACTACCGCCGTATCAGCCGTATCAATGATACGGCGCCCCCGGTCCCAGGGGGCCCCCAACGAGCGTTAACAGAAATTGAGAAAAACTTTTTATTTATTTCACAAACGACAAAGTCAAAAAATTAATTTCTTTTTATTGTCGGGACAACTTACATCGATTGTCGGCATGTTTGGCCTACGGGGTTTCCCCGTTTATCCCTCAATAATCAATGTAAAACCCTCAATAAACAATGTACAGTTATGCGTACCCAAAATACAATGATATGTTGACAAGCGACGAACGAACGGCAGGGATTTCTTTTAATAAGTAATATTTTTTCCAACTGACCCAAAATGGACAAGAAGTACAACATTTGGTACAGAACTAAAGACGTTAGAAAAAATACAATCATATGATAATTGCCAGAGTTAGTCGAAGGGTTTATATATTGAAAGACAGCGGGGGTTATTTACATATTTCAGTGATTGTGAATTATTTTGTATTACAATACAAACCACTAGTGTTTTGGTTTAGTGATGATTTGTAGAAAAGTGTTAGTGGTGATTTAAAGAAAACAATGAGTAAAAAGAAAACGAAAAATTAAACAGAAAAAAGATGAAGTCATAAAAAATGCCAAAAATTTCTTAAATCGAAAAAATATACACGTTTTTTGGCAATAGCATACAATAACGCTGGTCAATGCTAAATCAAGATTCTTCCGAGGAATATTTAGTAACACTTAAAAGGGTATGCCCTACCAGATGGTTTTCAAGGAACGACGCCTTATTAGCAATAAGCAAAAACTATTTATTAATAGTAAAAATTCTGTATAAATTAAATTTAATTTCTAAAAAAAAGATGAACGTGAAGAATGTAAGAATTTAATCAACCTTTTAGAAAGCTATGATATTTTAGTGCTCGTAACATTTTTTTCTTTATTGTTTCAAATTATTAATCCAATTTCGAAAGCTCTACAGGATGTGAGTAATGACTTACAACGAACTAGCATACTATTAGGAAATCTTTTAAAGAGTCTGCGCGAATTGAGGCATAAAAATTCATTCCTTATTTTGTTAAGGAATACTAAGGATTTAGCAAAGAATTGAAATATAAAAACAATTTTTAAAAACAAGAGGCGGAAGATAACAAAGCGATTTTTCGATGAGTTATCACAAGACGAGAGAATTTTAGACCCTGAATCATATTTTAAAGTAAACGTGTACTATTGCTGTTTAGATATTTTAATTTATCAAACAAAACAAAGGTTTCAAAACCTTTGTGACGTAAATAGTATGTTCAGAATATTGCAACCGGAAAAACTCATGTCTTCTTCAAATGAAGAAATAATAATTGCTTCCGGAAAACTGACGACAAAATACTGCAAAGATCTATCAGGTAATCTTTGCGATCAATTGATAATCTAAAAGCATGCTTAAAATTAGAAATCGAAAATATTCATTCCATTAAAGAACTCGCTGAATTATTATTAATAAAATGTAATAGTATTGCATCCAGTTTTTCGGATGTAATAACAGCTTGCATTTTATTCTTGACCCTTCCAGTTACAACCGCAACTGCTGAAAGGAGTTTTTCAAAATTAAAATTAATCAAAAATTACCTCAGAACATCAATAAAACAGGAACGTCTATCAGACATGTCTCTATTGTCCATAGAGGCAGAAACATTAGAAAAAATAAAAACATCATCAGCTATAAATGACTTAATAAATCAGTTTGCTGATAAAAAGGCAAGGAGAGTGAATATTTAATTATAGTTACTTGTAAAATATTAAAAATAATATTCGACGTATATTTGAAAATTTGATAAATAAATGTTCTTTTAATTTTATTAAATGAATTTATTAATCTTTTTATGTTTCTTTGAATTATGAAAAATCTTTAGGGGGGCCCCCAAACCGATTTTGATACGGGGCCCCGCCAAGGCACGTTACGCCCCTGATATATACTCGTATGTATAGAGATCAATTAAAAAGATCGACCTTAAAGTAATTAATCTCGTGTGTAACATAATTAATATAATATACCTTGTTTGTTTTGAGAGTTGATAATTGATTAATATAAAATTTTTAAATAGGACTCAAAATACAACCAAATAAAAATTTAGCCCATAACTCGATGGCTCATATAATTACTGACATATGTTTTTTTGCTCTTTTTTTAAAATGTGTCATCTGACCTTTTTACCCCATATGGGGATGACTCTACATTTACAACTCAACATTTTTAAATTTGACTTTGTAATTTATTAAGACTTTAATCTTCTCTAATTTTCCAATATATAATTCTACAAAAAAAAAGAATATTTGTCTACATAAGGTTCTGTCTAAATTACAAAAATCATTTAAATAAATGATAATAAATCATTTTAATGACAATTTAATTTTATAACAAATAATTAGCGACGCCAATGAACTTAATTTTATGAAAATGTAAAATAATTAAAGTTCCGTTCAGCCTTGTTTTCTGATGATCTTTTGATGATAAAAATGATGCATCTTGAAGTATCCTGAAAAATAAAAATCACTTATTTATGAGCACGTGTATAAATACATCTTATATATATCTATGTATATAATTCACTATTTAAAAAATATAATTTAATATTTCTCGAATGAAACCTATTAAGATTTGTTCACTACGATAATTTTTATAGTTACTACTAATAACAATTCTAATATAATATTGAGAATAGAATTTTTATTATACACCATTTATAAATATCAAACAGTTTATTGTTAAGAAATAATGGCGTATTATACTGAGTTTTAAATTGAAAAAAAAAATACAGGACCGATTAAGAAAACATTTCATAAATAATTTTCCACGATTGCAGTTACATTACGATTGTTTGTAATAACATACATTTTATTAGATTTGTGCTCTTGAAATCTTATTTTGAGATAAATGCATTAAAGTATACTTATTTATTATTACCATTTTTTGCTCAAATTCTATTGATAAAATGCATATAAATAAAAAAAATGAATCGAGTTTGGTCCTGTGTATTATCAAAGTAAAAACATTGTTCAGTCGCTATAAAAATACAGCTATAAGGAAATCAGCACTTTTGGCTATTTGGCTAGTGTAAAATTTAATCATGATCGTTCTTAAACTAATGCAAGTTTTTTTCATTTTCATCCATCTTTACGATTATGGTATAATATTTTTATTATAATTGAGTATTTTATTTTCATTATATAGTATATTACATTTATATTATATATTATATTACAAAGTGTAAATTTTTTTTGATTTTTTTTTGTAGTTTTGAGTGAGGGTCCGGAAGCAGAATGTTTTATGCCAAGATCAGCGCCAGATGGTGCTCCTCTAGAAGCTTATTTGTATAACAAGTAATATTATTATTTTATTTTATTATTAAATTAAAATTAAGATTTTAAAGTTTCATTTTATGTGCTATTTAATCACACTAGTTTATAATATTGAAATATAACTAAAATTGTGAGAAATAGTTACACCTCTGATATACTTGGTTTTGAGAAATTTAAATTTTACCTGAATCCATTTTTTATAACAAAGGAAATTTATAATAGTTTTTGATTATTATCTTAAAATTGATTATCTTAATTTTGATTATTAGCTTTTATATATAATTTTTATTTCAGTGAGTATGAAGGCTTACCCCTCACCCCTGAAATATGGGAAGAAATTGAAATACCAAGTTGTCATGATATTCGTTTTGTTCTTCACGGATATCATCAAACCAGATTGGACGTGATGTCTATAATAAAAGGTAAATTGAATATATAATTCCATCAATTAAACTTATTACCAAATATACATGAATATGACTATCATCATAATCAACTTACCAATGAATGTATAAAATTTATTTTTCTATTTACTCTTTTATAACTAGATATAAAACAATGTACATTTTATACATTTTAATATACAATAATGTATAAAACTGGATACCAGCATAATAATATAAATGGCGTATATCATCTTCATTTTTGTTTACAATTATTAGAATATAGAGGAAATTTAGCCAAAAAACATTTAAGATAAGATCTATAATATAATAGAAAATAATTTTTATTTTATACTTTTTACATACTAAAATGCTTCGATACTGTTTCACTTTACACTTGTTTGATAATCATAAAACAACAGCTTGGCCGATGGCGGCACAAAATTGATCAACTGATCAACATGATTTGATTCATCATCCAGTTGCATCAAATGGCTTTAAAATTTATCAAATCGGATTAACTGTTTTTGAGAAAATGTTAACGAAAGGTAAAAAATAGGCGTACATACTCAAATACTATTTCAATTTTTGGACTCAAACGATTCAGAATACGTCAAGAAAACATAAAATTCACAAATCGGATTTTATCGTAAAAATATAAACTTCTTCTTCGGAAAGTAAATAAATTAAATTGATATTACTAGCCTTTAAAAAATATTTTTATCTGTGGTGATTTCCAGCGTATCAAGGTCGTGAAAACACTTCAGCCATTGTCCTAGACTGGGAGCCTACAGCCTCTTTAAACTATAACCAGGCAAAATCTACGCTCTACAACGTAGCAATTTCTTTGCGGTCACTGTTAACTATAACTTCCGAATATACAGGAAAGAAACTCTCGGATTTTCATATAGTCGCATTTGGTCTAGGGGCACAGTTGGCGGCTACTCTTGGCAGAATGGTAGACGGTGAAATCGGGATGATTATAGGTCAGTAGATTCATGCAAATATATACTAATTTACATACTAACTTTTTGATTTTATACCCAGGTCTAGATCCAACGATATCAGGTTGGAATGAAGATAAAAAGGAGGACAGGGAAAATATGTTGAACAAAGATTGTGCTAAATTTGTACGAATCATCCATACAGATGGTGAGCGATACGGCGTTAGGTATCCGATGGGACATGCGGATTTCTACATGAATGGCGGATTTTATCAGCCAGGTTGCAAAGAAGATGATGAATGTAAGTAGAAATATTAGTATACAAATTTAGTTGGTTTGCGTTAACTAAAAGTGGTATTTTCTTCATCAGTATGTGCGCATTTGAGAGCCATAGATTACATGGCCGAAGCCATTGAAAAGAACCGAATGCACATTGGTTTTCGGTGCGCAAGCTGGTACGACTTGCGGTATAACGGAGAATGCAGGATAGTGCCAAACAGGCATTCGATGTATGTCTCGAACGAAGCTGCAAGGTGTCCAGAGTAAGTACCTAAAAATCATTTGTCATCATGAAAATGCAAAACGTACCAGATACTGCAAAATTCTAAGTATTTTTTAAAACTAAGTACATTCAAAAAGCTATGTTATGGTTCATTTATCATTATGAAAATGCACCATGTACAAGATGCTGCAAGTTGTCCAAGTAAGTTTTTTTTTAGAAAAGATTAGCTTCATTAATACTTAGCTTATTTCAGTCGTCAGGTAACAAGTCTTTGGTGTATAATACAGCTTTGCACATAATTTTATATTTTTGTTAGGGAATACGAAGAAGGGATATTTTATGCTGCCACCAACGCAAGGCCACCTTATTCTTTGTTTCCGCCACATTACATATACGTCGCCAATGATGTCGTTCACGTTTCTCATACCACAGGAGTATATGGATCCGACTGGCCAATTCCTGTTCATTGTAACAGCAAAGAAACACCTGGAGATAACAGCATTTTAAAAAAGTCACAAAATGCTAATTGTAATGGCTAAGGTTTGGTGAAAAAGTATCAATGAGGTTAAAAAATTTTGAATGACGATCAAAATGTTCGTTGTACAGCATAGTTTACTCTGCCGAAAATATCTTCTTGTTAAAATATGAAAATTTGCATTGTGTGATACAAACAACTTATTATTATGATTTAAGCTTGCATTTCGCTATGATGTTATTCAAATGCTTAAACTGGATTAAATTGGGTAATACTGTTAGTATTACATTTATTAAAAATAAAAGCTATACTAAATATATAAGTTATTTGGCGATAGGATAAAATTAAACTAATAATTTAAAAATTCTTAAAACTCTTTTTTTTATATAGAACATGTCTTAATAACGCAATAAATCTTTTAGCAAATGTTGATATACTGTATTTCTTAGCTAATAAAACTGGCAACGATGTCGATGTATTGTATTTCTCTGCTAATAAAGCCCATTTCAGCAAACCTCCGCATGTTGTTCTATTATTTATAAATATTTTACACGAATTATTTTGAATCAAACCTTGATTAGTAATAGATGCTATGGCCGATAATTTCTGAAACGCAGTGAAGTCATTTATCGTATACTTTAAAGGAATAATAATAAAATGACGTCAGGTTCACATTGGAAATGGAAGTTAAGCAGAGTTGCATTTATTGCATCATGTAGAATTAAGTAATAGTAAAAAAGTGTTCATAACTTATATAAACCTGTATATTGGTTATTTTTTGTAGCTTTTAACAATAAGTTACAAACATATTTAGTTTCTGTATGCCCTATATTATCTGCAAACATGTTTGCAATTACTTCAAAATATGTTCAACAGAGATGAAAAATGTTGCAGAAATCCGTTGCACAGGTCATTTAGGCATTAAATTACCTGGAAACTACAAAAATGATTAGATTTTAATTATGATACAAAATAATTTCTAGATCGGGGATTTTGTCGTTTCTATTTTTTAATCAATTTTTTACCATATTGCACACCAAATTTAGTACAATTAGTAGCACATCAAATTTTTGTTGTGGAACTGTGTTATTATAACGTATTATTCATTATAAAGTTCTTTTTAATAATTAGAATGATAATACTAATCCAGTAATAAAGTATTTTTATCTCATTTCTTCAAATCGATATAATTCGGCTCTGCTTTTACAGAAGTTTGAATGAGACTATAAATAGCAGGGAAAATTTGCTATTTAGTTAATTTATGTTCATAATGCTTAGCGTGATATATTTCTTGACTGTATTAAGTATCGGTAAGCAACAAAATTAAACCGTTCAGTTAACTTATTTTTGATTAAGTTTTAGTATTTTATTTCAAGCTTTTACAATAGATATTAATTTCAATCCTTTGAGCAGTTTATGTTTTAAGATTTGTGTTAAATTAATAAAGTAAATCAACTCAATATTATATAGTGCCAGGAGAGGTTGCCACGGAGTTTAGAAAGGGGTGGCAGCGAACTATGTGTTATAAGAGAGTTCTGTTACCAGTTCCGGCTGATGATATTGGGGTATATTTATTTAACAAGTAATACGGTTCAGTATTTTTTATTAAAATTAATTAAATATAGACATATGGTTATTATACTATATATTAAATTTTTCAAGAGATCACTACAACTACAACATAAATATTTCAAATTTGGAAGGTATTGAAGTGGAAGATTGCTACCGCATAAGAATTGTCATACACGGATTTGAACAACAATATGAAGATATTTTGCCTCTTATTGACGGTGATTAATTTTTCCAAATTGATTTAAATAATTAAATAACGAATTTAATTCATGTATGTTTTTTAGAATATATTCGTGCTATGCCCAAATACACTATAATCGGACTGAAATGGACTAAATTTATTAAGGATTATCATTTGACTTTTACATCTCTTAAAACCATCGGGTTGAAAGTTGAGCATATCATTTCTCGTTTAGAAACAGCGTTTAAAACGTCGGCTGAATATTTCCATTTTTTGGGCTTTGGATTGGGTGCTCATATTTTGGGTCATGCAGGCAGAAGACATTATCCGGCAAAATTTGGTGTTATAGTTGGTAAGTTAAATGCACATTTTAACTTATATATATATATATATATATATATATCATAAGTTATTAAAAACAAAATAAGTACTAAGACTCCTATTAGGACTCGACCCGACTGCCAGCGGTTTCGACGAAGACCTGAAGGGCGACCGCGCGATGATGTTGGGCGCCGATTGCGCGATTGTCGTTCGAATAATTCACACGAACGCCGCTCAATTTGGAGTCAGAAGACCCATGGGTCACATGGATTTTTACATAAACGGAGGATTTCTACAGCCAGGTTGCCCTGATAGCACTATACATCGTAAGTTTATGAAGTAACAATCTCTTATAAGGTTACATAAATATATTTCAATTATGTTGTTCAAGAAAGATTCGAATTCAATTTTTGCTTCTTCAAATATAAGATTACTAATAGTAATATTACATTTTAACAAACAGAAGACGAATCGTATTTCGTGCCAATAAAACCATTTTCACGAATCGCACATATAAGTTTATTATTTTTTGGCAAAACTTGTTCTAAGAATGAGTATAAATATCATTTATATGTGTATGCCTGTTATCGTACTTATTGCTACAATGAATCATTTCGTAAGATTACGAAAAAGAAGTTTCGTAATTTTGAATACATTCAGGTTATGTCGCTTACTTGATACTTTTGCAATTGATAAAAGAAAATATGTTTAATGAAAATTTTCCTATCAACATTATTTCAGTTTTCAATATTATTTTGAATATTTAATATCGAGAACTTATTATACCTTTATGCTGATATGGTGATTTGACTTAACTCGGTTTTTGATGGTAACCCAAACAGTGACCCCTCTCTTTGTGGTGAATTATTTTGCAAGTAAAAACTGATGTCACTACTGCTTGACCGAGGAGATATCGAAACTAATTGAAATCTCTTAGCTCTTACCATTAAATAGTCTTTAATTTTTAACTGCCAGATTTCGTTCTTGCCAAAATTATTAGTAAAACCCTCGATTAGCTTTCTAGTAAAAATTATAATACTGTACTGCTTTCATAAAACTTGAAATTATATTCATTTCCGATTATATTATTTCCATTTTATTTTTTTATATATTTTTTATTAAGTTGGCACAATAGTGTTCTTGATGTCTTATATTTATGTTTATAGACTTTGCACAAATACAGTATTTCTTACTATTTTAGAGTGTAGCCATCTTAGGGTTATGGACTATATTAAAGAGTTGATCAAAAAGAAGAATTGTTATGATGCTTATCATTGTGCAAGTATATATGATCTGTATTATAATCATGAGTGTCAAGTAATACCCAGAAAGCGTCTTGTTTATGATATTTTTGAAGTAGCGAAAGATGTTAAGTAAGTATGAAAAAGAAATATATATTTAAATCTAAGAAAGCGATCATAATTCCAGAAATTCGAAAATGTATTTAGAAACTACATTAATATTATTACAAAAAATAGTTTTGTTATATTTACAGAAACTTTTATTTTATCCGTAGATTTGAAGATCGAGGCATTTACTACGTACCAACTAGTATGAGACCACCATTCACCTATTTACCTCCGATGGTCATCCAAGTTGCCATTAATACTATTCATGTATCCCACACGAATTTGATTTATGGTTCGGATTATGGTTTGCATTTGCCTTGTTTAGCAGAAAACTCTTTGCAATATCCAAGAATTTCATCATATAAAAGCGGGAAATCAAAATATCCCAAAGAATATGTCAAGTCTATCATGGTCCCTGGAAAATATTCGATTGATGCCAGTAAGGTTAAGAGATTAAAGTATAATTATGCTGGATGTAGACCGTAATTAAGGTAAGAATGATATTGATCAGAACTTTATTTTAAATTAAAGGTATAATATTTTTTAGGATTGAATAATGTTTGCTGATTTCATACAAGCGTACATTGAAATTTATAACTTTTTGTGCAATGGCGAGTGGTGATGGAAAATTTGTTGTAATATTTCAATGTACTACACACAGGACAGCACATACTTCATAGAATATAAAACTTATTTTTTAAGTTACCACATTTTACTCAATTTTTATTCATGTTGTACTCGTAATTGTTTTAAATTTATAAGTCAGTACGGAGTCTCTGAAACGTGCTCAGAACATAGTAGTAATTTAATTAGATTTTTGACATATTTGGACTAGTTTTTATTGAAGTTAGATAGTAAGAATAAAATAATTTAATTTCAAATAGAATAAACATAAACTTGTAATAACAGCGTCCATAATTTTTTTAATAAAAAACTGCGCCTTTGCAATCATCCCTACAGATTTGTTATACCATTGATATATTAAATCTCTTACCAAACGTGTCAAATTGATGTTCGAGTCATTTGCCATTTTTTCGCATTGGCTATAATACAAATGTATGATATAATATTTTTTCCTGAACAATAACAATCTAAAATTTTTGATAATATTGGCGGAGTGTCGCCTCCCTGCGGAGCCTTTTGCGAGCGACCGCGTCGGCATTAAATAACTTCTCGCAGCTTGATATCTATCTTTCAAATGAAAAAGAATCAGAAGCGTAGAAAAAAATTGTTCCTACATATAATTTGACATATTTTTGAAGAATAAAAAAAATTGCGGAAATTGTTTTAATAAAAAACATTGGACTATAAGAACTTACCATTATTTACCTTTTACCTGTTTTTTATAGTACAAGAACAAGCTGAGCATACTTTGTAATCGCGGTTACAAAAATATAAAAGCCATTCGATGATAAGAACTCGCCTTGATTGGTCTTGTACAAAGATCGACCAAACCGATTTCTTCTTCATTAGCAGAAAAGTGCAAGATGTTTTGGCCACGTTTTACTAAAAAATCATGATCCTCTTTTCAAAATTCAAAAACTGTTTGAAAGATATCAGTTGCGATTTGTGCTGAGTAATTTTTGGTAAAATCTGGCGGTCCGTTTTCTCAAAAGTTAATGAAACTTTGCACACTTATAGGGTTTATGGTCTTAATGAGCATCTTAAAATATTATGGACTCACAAAAAGTCCAAAAATGGGCAGACTCAAAATTAAAAAAAAACTGAATTTATGAATACTTCAATGGCCAATAAAAATATATTATACTTGCTATTATGTATGTATTCAGTTCAACACGTATGTATATTCAATAATATTTATATATATATATTTTTATATTATTCCTACTCCACTGCATCGTCCCATGACGTGTATTGATACCGTACCATGGGCAATTATATTAATATCCAGCTAACGACATGGGATATTTGTTTCTGTAATATTCGTTTATTTAATACACAATATAATCATTTTTTATGACCGAAATAAACGTTAAAAATATGATAATGTGTCTGTTGAACCGAAGTTCTCAGATAAGCGCACCTTTTCAAAGGGCATCATCTCTTTGAGGTCTTTCCATATTGGTTCCCGTAGGGTAAGTTATATAAATCGCAAAAAATCGAAAATGAAAATTTGTTCATACTTTTACATTAGTGTAATTCTGAAAAAAATTGATGTATTGGATAAAATTTTTGGCAACGTTTTTGAGAAAACTGTTCTACTGATTTCAATGATTCGTACTGAAGATTCACTACTGACCGTGTGAAGATTGGTCTTTAGACGAATTAACTGAGACGTCAAATTCATTAATACTTACTTCAATTATTAAATATTTTATATAAAGTTTTCATATCATTAGTGTCTACCACTTTGTAATTATCAGTAATATTGATTAAAAAAAGCTTTCGAATAAAGATGTGCAATTATTTGGCACAATGATCCCTTTTGCTATTTCTCTTTTTAATCGTTAGCAAGTCTTGTCTTAATTATCATGAAAATTAATAAAAATATCGTAATATTTAATGTCTGATTTTGAAATATTCGATCGCTAAATGATTCGACCTCAATATAAATTCAGGCCATGATGGGTGTTACCACCTAATAAAAATCATAAATTACAATTAGTTCTCTTAGCTTATGAAAACCTGTTCATAATCAAATTGAATTATAAATTATGTTCTCTGTTTGGAATAGGGTTTGACAGCTTTTTTAATTTGAATCCATCGTAAATTTTTAATTTAATTTGATGATAACCTCGGCGCCAACTCGGACGTTTGAAATAAAAGATACAAAAGGAAAACAAAGATTATTGTATTGTTAATTTATATATTTCTATCACAATATAATTTATATTTAAAACTATAAATAACAATTATAAACATAATACTTTTGATACTTAATATAAAACCTTTTGACTTACAATTATGTATAATATTAGTTGTAACATTTGCACACACATGCATTCAATTACTTTATTTAATAGTTTATGCGTTTTATAATTCATAAATATTGTATTTCTCAAGAGTGTTATAAAGAATAGATTTTTTTATCTTTCCTAAAATTATTTTAGAAATATTACTTAAGGATTAAAGAGAACTTTCAAGAAAATAATTTTCTGTTTTAAACATTTTTTTTAAAATTCAGCTTGGTTTTTCATATAATTTTGCAAAAGCAAACAACTTTTATAAATTTACTATTAATGAATCAGATTTTTTTCAGAATAATATACATTTTTAAATATACTAAATATACTCAAAATATGTCATATTAAATTATTTATTCAATAACGCTTGATCATTAATTTGTTTTTAATTTATATGTATTTATATAATTCTTACAAAAATTTGATTTTTTTACATATGTAGATAAATTTTAATTCTAAATAATTAACCAAATTATTTTCATAATTATCTCAATTACCATAAATTATGCATAAACGTATTTTCAATATACAAATCATTTCCAAGATCACATTCGAACCAATTAATTCTATAACTTATTTATTAAAAATATTCAAACAAATCAAACATGAAGAAATGATAAAATTTCTGTCACAAGATAACAGATTCATTTTCAAATTTTGAAATAATCCATATTTCATACCTATGAAGCAAATTTCATTGCTTGTATCGATAGAAACTTTAATTTTGATCAGATTACAAATTAGTATCTAAATACGAACCTTTATATTTTTACATCAAATGTTCGGATACACATTTCAACACTTATTGCTTATTTATCTTAAATTAGAAATTATTTAGAATCGCAATTACATTTAGCAACTCGTTACATAGTACGTGTTCACTGGTATATAAAAATTTCTATAATCGGAATTGTAACAATTTTGCTTTCATCTGAGCAAAACGGTTAGAAATCGATCATGGGATAACATATTCTATAAAAGTTCTATAGAGATGAATACATTTAAATTCTGCTTTAATCACATCTTTTCTGGGCGTTTCGTTTTTGAAAATATTTCAAAAAGGCACTAATTTGATATGGAATTGTAGGAAAAAGGCATCCTAAGGTAAAAGTTTTCGTCGATTTTAGAATAGAATAAATCTTGAAATTGTTTTATAATTAGTTCTTTATTGATGTTTTCAGTTTGTTAGCCTGGAATGTAAGGATTATAACTGCAAACATCACTAATATCAATAATTCACTGTTGCCTGTAACAAATCGACCTCGACTTGTATGTTGTCATCAACGGGAATCGTGGCATGGTAAAATTAGGAAATTTTATCAATCAATATTTTTTTATTTGTACTTGACTTTTCTTTGCGTCAAGCAATCATGCTTTACATTCATTTACTAACTCAGAATGTCTCCCGCCGAAGCAGATCCTTGCCTCAGCATCTCCAATCTCAGTTCATGTTCCCGAGCCTTCAGTCTTAGGGCCGCTATACTATTCGATCTAGGATCCGGCGAAGCACCTTCTGCCGATCCTGGTGATGTACTACGTGGAGAACCATCTCCCAATGGAACTCTTGCCCCCATATTTGCTAATAGTGATTCGAAACCTGGTGGGTATAACTGTGGCGGTGGTGGGGGATGGCGATACTGCGACAAATATCCCAATCCTGCAGGATATCGGAAACCGAACATGGGCAAGTTTAAATTTTGAAGTTGTGACAATGGTTAGGAAGGCTCAAGTTCTGCAAGGAGAGCTGGTTCAATAAATTGTTTTGCAAAGATCCATGAGGAGGAGGTAGGTGTCCAGCTGGAGGAGCACCAGCGTTGTGATGTTCCAAAGGACTTTTGCGGAGAGGGAAGTAAGCGTGCGGGCCGCCTAAGGGTAGTGGCGTGCCAGTTGGACCTCCGAAGGACGCAAAGGGGTGACCCTGAGGACCGACTTTTTCTTGCTTGCGCCATTTTGCACGACGGTTTTGGAACCACACCTAGAAATAAAGAAAATAAAATAAATATAATATAATATAGAATAACTTTGCATGAATAAACTATCAATATTTCTGAAATAAATCTTGCAACAAACATGGCGATCGTACAGCAATTGATTAGTTGCTATACAGCTAACAGTAGTGGTTGAACGATATTAGAAACTATGCAGTATCAGGGAGCTGTTAAATAATCTAAATTTTATCTAGGAGATCATATTATTAGATCTGCATAGATATCTAACTTTCTCCAGGAATAGTACTGAATTGATGTATACTAATATTGCTGATTAAGAAAATTGTATTGGTGTGATGCACATTTAATAAGAGTTGGTCTTCCGAGATGCGAAACAAATATAAAATGATTCCAATCCGGTATCTGACTTTTATAATGCTTTGCAATTACATTTTGATCCGATATAATAATCTTGGACTAATGCCACAGTCCGTGGAATGATTCTTCAGTTACTGTAACGATAATATCATTTGCTCCGGAGAGTCTAATGTATAATTGGCCTCGGAATAGGATTACTACAGTGTAATAGTTGTGCTTTTCCTTCAGACTTTATCGTTAATGATTTGAGCTTCGGACAGTTATTGTTATTATATAACCGTATACACAGTAATTAATTGTAGTAATCAATGCAATATAATGTTCAATTAAAGTAATTATGGATGTTTTATAGAATTATCGAAGCAGTTGCAGCTGCAGGACGGATTTGACTTGTTTCATTGGTTTTCCACGATCAAGTTTATTAATTAGATTTATCAATGTATCTTTATGCACGTATAGAAATCTAATAACTTGAATTATTATTTGTGTCAGAAATATCTTTCTGGTCGAACAATTACTATTAATAGTATGCTAAATACTACAATTATATTTTCAATATTTTTTTCTTTGAAATCCAACTAGTCACTATTAACAATCGTGAAAGTTATTTATAAAATAATGTATTGTTAATATTTTATAAGTATATATAAAATATTTATCCGAGATTTTAGAACACACCATCTATGTCCTCTAATGGCATGCTCTCCGATTTCCGAGTCGATCTCGGATGTGGCCAATTTGCTCAATTACCGATGCTGAACAAACCAAACACCGGCTAAAGGTTTTCCATCGACAAATAACCTTTTCTTATTTATCACGATTCACTCCGAGTTTTTGTTTGATTAAATTACAATTTATTTTTATGTTGCCATTCGTAGCTATATTTCTTCCAATGCGTTCTTTATAATTTCAAGATTAGCAAATTATAGATAGAAGGAAATCTTTATTATATTATTTTGAAAAAAATATAAACTGTTGTGAACTTCGTGATTATATCGGATTCAACGATTTAAATATAATAACGGTCATCATATTGATAGATGTTGTTACCACTGAAAATAGCCGAACCAAGTGTTAAAATTCACTAAACTTGTGTTAATTTTATACGCGACCATTTGAAGTCTACTCATGTACATATATACAAAATAATATTACTGATACTGACTAATATTATTGGTATGAATTGTAATTATATTAATACTTTGAATTATATAAGACCACGAATGTCACATTATCTTGGATACATGCAAATTTAGGCAAATATTAATACTCTATGAATTTTCATATTTATATATAATTTGAACGATTTTTATATGCAACAAGATAAGTTGTATATATATATATATATATATATATAATAGTTGCAATATTTTAATAAATTCGCTTATGGAACTGATCCACGTCTTCAATCTATCGCAAATTGAAGATGGGTCTCCGTCCGTTTTATTATTATCAATCTGGCGTTGAAAAAGCACAAGAGGCATCGTAACATCACGTGCGCGACTTGATGAGAACGAAAATCATCATCTTGGAAAAAGGAAAAGAGATATTCTTTAGACTGTTAATCCTTTTTAGAGAAGGAGCCAGTGCCATTGATGCATTCTTATTGACGAAGAAAGGGAAACCAATTTGAATTAATTGCGCTACACAAATTGGAGCACTTCAACAAAAATAGGAGTGCAAATATTATATACATTTAGTTTGAATATGACGGGTTTCAGTTTACCTATGCTGAGAAGCAAAATTCATGGTCATATGTAAAATTTTAATCACATCGATATTTCTGATTTTTGCAAAGGTATGAGCATGGATTAAATTAGAAGAAAAATATTCATGTCATAGGAATAAAAACAGATTGTTGTAACATACTAAAAGATTATCTAAGATGTTATTATTATTAATAACTTCTTAGCTTAACTATTAAGATATTAAATCAACCTATTTCTATTCATATGACCTGATTCTTTTTAATGAAATTTTTATTTAAAAATTATTAGATCAATTGATAATATAATATAATATTTATATCTGCCATTACATAGCAGCAAAAAATCAGTATTAATTTTCAATTAATGTATATTATACAAACTAGGCTTGTCTTTAAAATTGTTTCACATTTTACGGAAACCCAAAGTGGACTATAGAGCTTTTACTTCGTTTATATAAAATGAATGCGGGGTACCACAGGGCAGAGTGCTAAGCCCATTACTTTATCCCCTTTTTAAAAGCGATATGCCCACAGATGGCCTTCTAACCATATGCACTTACGCGTATCAAGTAAAATAATGCAACAATAAATGGTCGGTAGCGTGTATACTAATTGGAGATAATTAAAAAATATTTTAAAAAATAGCTCATTTCTCGACAAGGTTCAATGGCGTTCAGGTATATTTTTGGGATGGTCCACTCTGGTTACTAGCTCCTCAAATATAATCAAATAAACGAATAACTAGCGATATATTGAAATAAATATAATTGTAATAGATTCATAATCTAAAGCAGAACATATGGGGTCAATTCTGCGGTATAAACATAGCCAACAACATAGCGTTGTTATGACAACGCTATCTTATCCTTCCACTAGAAACTGTGAGAATGCTATATATTTGTATCGTATTTTACATATAAATAAACCTAGAAAGAATGTTATCATAGCTGCATCTTTGTGGTGTGCATTTATAACATACGATTTTAAGTGTAAAACGCCTAACCGCACAGAAAATAGATAGTCATTTTCACAACTTTTAGTACCAAGAAAGAAGGATAAGATAGCCATAACAAAGCTACGTTATCGGTATGTTACCCACAATTTCAATTATCAATCAAATGCTTGAAATGCTATTTTATGTTTCGTGGGATATGGGATATATTTACATTTCATTATTAATTCGAATTTGAGTAAAAGTTTCCTAGCCTCGCCGTCTATCCTCCGAGACATTGTAAGGACGGACGGACGGGTGGTTCGCCGGGCGAGGCACGTAGGACTCTGATCACAGTGCGGGAAATCGCGTAATTGATGATTTGTAATCGAATCAAGCAATCAGATATCCAAACGGTCTAACATCGAGATAAAATCCTATGCACTTATTTTTTAGAATTATAAAAAGAAACGTAGTCGGATCCCAAAATGTACCAATGTAAGGAGGGGCCTTTTATGGGAAACATAGTGCTTTGAAATATATAATTTTACCATTTAGTGCGTTTAGTCTTTTATATTATCAAATCTTTCTGAACCTGTGACGTCAATTTAAATAATACTAAAATACAAAATGATTTAATGAATTTGAAATTGGTGAAGCAATTATTTATGTGATTGTACTTAATAAATTCAATGTTTGTACATGTTTTTTTCTGTTGTCTGGACCACACATCACATCTTTATCTTGAATAAGTTCTGTATTAGTTTTGTATATTCTGTTTCAGTTTTGAATCTTAAAAGAAAATAAATATTGATAAATGTAGAATTACAGGAAAGTACCGAACGTGAATTAATGCGTACACACACACACTCACACACACACACACACACATATATATATATATATATATATATAATTTAAGTTTTTCTGGATAGCTATCATTATATTTATGATTTTATTTTTCTGATTTTTCAAAAAAAAATTATTTATATTTTCATTTATAATTTTTTTCTGCGTAAATGTACCTACATCTCATCTTGCACAAACACAATTTTCTATATAATTTTCCAATTTATTAATTATATGAAAAGTGGATTTTTTCAATTTCAATATAATTAAAATATTTTTTTTGTTATAATTTATTTTTGTTAATCAAGATTGTAATGTCAATTAAAATATTGGTAATATAGATATTTGCATATACAAGATTTTTTTTTATCTTTTATTTATCTTTGAACAAATTATTAGTAAATAATTTTGCGATAAAATCAAAGAAGATAATAAGTATTATTTATTAAAAACGATGTGTCTTTCTGATATTTTAGTTAAAACCCTCGATATCTAGGACTGACCAGTTTATTTGGCAAGGTAAAAATTGTATAGTGTAGTTAATTACTTAGATTCAACAATTATTCAGTAACAACGTATTTTGCATTTCAAATAATTTTGTTTGTATTGTGTTTAATTGTAAAACGATTGAGTATTTTAAAAGAAAAATTTTGTGTCAATTATAAAATATCTTTTTCCGTAATATATTAGTTTACTTTCGTTAAATCTTAAAATTCTTATCACCTCATAACAGAATCCGCTAATGGGAACATTTTGCGACGATCGTATATTAAAATTTATTTTCACATGTTGGAATTATAAGCGAATCCTAATTACTTATTCTTCGAGCAATCGACTCCGATCAGATACCTTCCATTCATTAAACCCGCAAAGGGGCGTAAAAATCTTCATTAGAATCATTTTTAATGAAAACTCCACATTAATCCACTCGTCTGGTCTGTTAATTTATCTGGATGAATCTAATCAAGGCGCTGATGGAAATTTCGGACATTAATACAAGAACAAATGTAGTTATCAGATTTTTTTTGGTAAGTGATGTTATTAATTGATAATTATTGCTGATCAAAGAAAGTTTTCATTAGAAACATATTTCATGATAAAAATTTAAGGTTATTTTTAGTCTTCTATAAATATTTTAGAAATTTAGTAATATTGAAAAAATTGATTTTATTTTATTACATAGAATTGTAAAGTTCTGAGTACCAACTAGGTAAAAAATAGAAATACTCTTAATTAGATATCATCATTAATCCACATGGTCCGCCAATATATCTGGACTCAATAACATGAGAACTGATGTAAATCCAGGTTATAATTAGAAATCAATAATCATTTTAAATAAATTGAGTCCAGATGATCGAAGGAAAAAAACTGATAATATTTATAAAATATAAATTGATTTTTGAATAAATATTCCAGATGGATTCTAACTTTGTCAGTGCTTTAAAAAAATAAATGATCATATTTGTCATCATTTATTGTTATTTCAAAACCAACCAAAAAAATTGGTTGCAGTTTTAATTGAAATTAAATACATGGTTTTAAAAACTAGTATTTTAAATTTGATACCTTTTTAAAAACATTTAAAAAGCTCTATTTATTATTTGTAACCATGATAACTAGGTAAAAAAAACAGTTTTTTATAACAAAAATATTTAATTTTATCAGCTCCTTTGAGTAGATTTTCGCATTAAATCCAATTAATTTACTCAACTTGATTCTCATTCAGAGTGATTTGCATATTGCAATTAATGAGATTAGTATTTGCCTTGTTTGCTCGTACTAACTTTGCTTTAGCTAATTACTAGTTGATTATAAAGTGTTAAAACTTCTTAAGACGTACAAAAAATAGTTTTTTATGATACCAATTAAAATAATGATTCAACTCCAATGTAATATTTGATAATAAAAGTTAAAAAATATATAAACTAGGCTTGTTACAATTTTCAAAATAGTATATAAAAAAAAGTTTCCATGATGGTCATAAATTATATTTAAAAACATATGTTTTATAAATGGATGATTTTTATAAAACAGAAATAAAAATCTAGCACGCGCCTCAACGTAAACCAGCAATATGTAATAAATTATGATCGGTCGATAAACTTTTGAAAACACGCCTTCTAATTAAAAACGTGATTAATTAGTAAACAAACAAATCTGTTTTTTACTAATAACATTCGAAACTGTACAGGAAAACGACAAATTGTATTATACAACACTCCAATGATTATGTAACTAATTTAATGATTCTGTAGATCATTCAAAATGTACAATATAATACAATATAATACGTTAAAAAATAGAATTTTAGAATATATTAGAAAAAAATTGTCTTAATAATAATATATCGTTGCTTTTCATTAAATATTATTTAATTACTGGTAGTGTAACAAGACTAAATAATTTAATTGTAATTAATAATAACATTTTCAGATTGAAATTTAAATTATTTATTAATACTTCTAGAGGTCATTATTATTTTACCTTGGACATTTAAGTAATACGTTTCCTAACGGCCAAAACAAAAGTAACATTTATATCATATTTCAAATATTTAATATATTATATACTCCATGATCTTGCAATTTAAGTTTCTATTTTTGAAATAAACTGTTGGTAATATTTGCACAAATTTCACAGAAGAGCCAGATTCAATATAAATCCCATAATTATTCTGGAGTATTTTGTGAACAGTTGAGGTGAGCAGAGGTAGGTTTAATAAATTGCCAATAAAATATAAAATGTGCCAAAAATTAGTGTCACGTTTTCAGTATTTACTTAATTTCATAATAAAAATGTGAGTTATTAAAATAAATCATGGTGCTCGTTCAATTTACCTGGGTCATGGATATTTTTCTACTTATGGAGGGTTACGCAATCAATGTAAGTAATTTAGTTAATTGTATTATATATATATATATATATATATATATTAATTTGAAGTTCATTTATATATTCAATGCATGCATGTTAATTATAATTTAGGCTTAAAATATTTGAAACTTATTTGAATTCAAAAAACAATTTCTTAATTACTATGGCACGTATAATACTCTAATTAATATATTATAATATAATAGCTAGCTATTACATTATTAAACTAGCATTTTATATTATAGATATATAATCTATAAATATTCATTAAGCAATAATTACCTGAATACGAGCTTCGGTTAAACCAATTTTCATAGCTAATTCCTCCCTGAAAAAGATAACATAAATTAGTAGTCGTGAATTAGGGTTGTTCTATATTAATTCAATTTACAATCAAGTTTTTAGTTTAAAATAATTATATTTTTGAAACGACTTCGGAAAATGTCCTAAGCGATAGTTATTTTTATTATTTTATATTGATTGTTTATAATAAGTCAATACAATTTTGATAACAACTTGAATTTCATAGAAGTTTACAGACGTCCTGCAACTCATTGTTAAATAAAGTGAAATAAATGTAGATGCTACTCTAATTATTGTGTCCAATGCTTAATTTTGTAGCAATTTGGATAAATTCAACAATTATTGGCTATAAATTCAATTTGTACTTTATATGTAATATTTAATTTCATATGCTTATTTTATGTAAATAAATAATTATTATGTAATTATTTTTTAGTAAATAGTTGCGCATTGTATGATTTGATTAAATTCATTTCAGATAACGATTTATTTATATATGCCATTTAATTTTACTTAACTTAAAAAACTTCTACTGAATAACAACAATATTCTTGATAAAAGTAATCTTCATTTAATAGTTATATAGTTATTGTTAACTTAATTATATTTTAAGTTTGGTATATTTTCTTTTGCAAAAGTGGTTCAGTGAAAGTCCAATATTCATACCAAAATTTCTATTAAAACAAAGTAGCAAATCTCGGAAACCAATTAATGTTCTATAAGTGATGCTAAGTGGTCATTTGGTTCATCGATAATTATTTATTCGATAAGCCTAGTATTTACCTACAGTATTGTCTTAAAAACTAATGTCCTAATCTAACTATTTCAAATCACCACATTCCTTTAGATTTTTTATTACGAAGTGGTCTCGAATATTTCGGTTTTTAATCTTCGCTCAGGCGACTTTTCTTATCTACGAATTTTGTGTTGTGGCCTGTCTGAGCATTTGTATTAATTTAATAAAAAAAAACTATTTGTGTGTTTTGATAAGTTTATTTTAATTTTAATGCCCTCGATGTAAATATGATACTTAGGAGGTGTTATATAATAAGTTTTGCTGAAAATAACTTATATCAATAACAATTGAAATCAAGAGTTTTGAAATTGTTTTGATTGTTATCATTGTTACAGTCCTCATTTACAATTTAAATCAAACCTTATATTTTTTTAAATTTTATGTTTTTTATTTATAAATTTCAAGTTTGAAATTTAACTATTATTGTTTTTTCTGAATTTTTAATAGCTTTTATTCGTTTTTTTTTAATTTCTTCAAACCATTCAGTCTCTGTTAATTATTATATCATTTTATAAAATATTTTTTATTTATTTAAATTTTTTCCATTTCCAATACTCCTAGATTTTTTCATAATTTTCAACGACTTATCCAAATTCACCAAAAATAAAAAAAGTAATTTTTAAACGTGAATTATTGTATAAAACTGTGTTAATATTGTGCATAAATATTCAACATTATTTAATATTTAATATTATTGATTGATTTGCTTACTTCCAAATTCAAATTATAAATTTTTCCGAATACCAAATTAATGAAAAATTAAAAATTAATTAATCAGTGATGAAGGTTAAAGTCAAAACTTTAAATCAAAAGCAATAAATATCATAAAAATATTTTCAAATAGAATAAAAACTTGTGTGGTCTAATCCCATAATGATTTCCATGACTCATATTTAATGTAAGTGAAAACTCATCAATTCGTATTACCACTTATCATTACATGTTTTCGAATGGGTCTAGACGTTTAGATAAAACAAAAACATAAATTCAATCATTTTCTGCTCATTCATTGTTAAGTAATTTACGAACGAAGATAATTTCAAACCTTTGCCATAAAGCACTCTATGTTTAAACCAATATGATTCGTAATCGAAGAAATTTTTGGACCACTAAAATGTTTTTCTTTATTTTTGATATTACTACCGGTTTTGAGAGACGATTTTGCGTGCCATTCTCCAAGAGCAATTAAGCTCTTTACGAAGGTTTAATTCTTTAAAAGTAATCCCACAGTTTTACTGATAAGCTTTTGGTGGGCTACTTATTATAATTTTGGTAACTTGAGTCTTTTAATTTGGAGAATGAAGGATTTTTAAACGTAAGTTTTATAAGAAGAGTACATTCACGATAAATGACTACATAGCATATAATATATTCATAGATTTATATCATTCTGAATTTGATGTCGATATATGTATTTAGAGTAATAATCGGGCATAACATCAATAGAAACATAAATTTATATTTAATTCTATTAAATTTATTCTGAAATCCATACGTTGTGTCTACAGTCCTAGCCATTAATTAGAGCACCTACAATTAAAATTAAAAACTAAACTGATTGTACAGACTGCGACTCAGTTTATATTGGTGAATCTTTCCAAAATTTAATAGAACAATTCCAACAACACAAAAATAATTCTAAATATCTGTAACAATTTATACCTATGCTAATTTACCCAATTCTAAAAGTTTAGGATGTTTTTTTGGAAAGAACTCAATTAACTCAGGAAGTTACTTTATTCATAACATTGCATTTTTTGAACATACTAAAATATTCTTGGTCGACACGAAATCGGTGAATTTTAAAAGTTCATCAAAGTTTCCAAAAATGAACCGGATGAACTGATATCAGAAATTTAAATTCATTTCATAAAATCGATAAGAACTCGCTTTGATTAGTTTTGTAAGGCGGTAGTTGTCAGTTGGATATAGTTTGATACCTAACTGTTAGTATTCTTTTATATAAGTTAAATACCTCGACTGGTCTTAATATAAGACCTCAATTTTAAATTTCAAAAAATATTTCTGATTTTTCAATATATAGGTACATACCTTGTGAAAACATCAGGATAATGTGTCCTGGAAAACGCCCTCTCCAGCTCCTCCAACTGCAAACTGGTAAAAGTAGTTCTATATCTTCTCTGTTTCCTTCTTGGAGCAGTCGGATCATCATCATCACTAGGGGTGGGACTCGGAGATCTATTATTGGGGCCCGGACTGATGCTTGTCGTTTGATGGGGGCCTTGTTGACTCAGAATTGGGGGTGTACCCACCATCGCCGTAATTGACAACGATGAGGGTGGTAGAAGCGAAGATGGAGGTCGTACGTGTAACATTTGGGATCCTGGAGGCGGTGCTGTTACTGGTTTCAAATCAGGGGGCGAAGGTGTTCTTTGTTGTAAAGGATTCGGGCTGATGCCCATTGCTCCGCTATCTGGGAAAAATAAAATATTAATTAGAAATTGCAATTAATTGGAAATTGAGAGAAATATGAGCTGTTGCTATATAATTTTTATATATGTACATGTGCAAAAATAATTCAATAAATACCTCTTCAATACAAAACTTCAAAAAAATCGATAAAATTCTATTTAAACTAGTAGTTGTACAATTAATTTGTCGCGCTCCACACAGTTTGAATATACGTTTCCAACTGAATGTAAAAAACACTGAAGTTAAACATGCATTAATTTCCGTAAATACTGATAACTTAGTTATGCAAAATATTCAAATAATAATTATAATAGACTAACAGCAGTAATTAAAATCATTTTCTGAAAAATACTGTGTATTATTCATTATCCACAAGTATATTAAGTAGTCTTTGTGTTGCACCGATTCCTGCATTTTGATAAATGACCAGCTTAATTGGATGTATTTTCTCCATATTTTAATAGTTCGTAATATTTAAAATATTCTATAATTGGATGCATTTTGTCTTTTTTGTTTGTAATAGAATAACATTCTATTTTATGTGCATTATAAATTAACTAAAATCGACGTCTAATTACCGACCGTGTACTAATTATGCAAACGTGTCAGGTGAATAATCGTTGGGTGAACAATTATGATATCTGAGCAAAAATAATTACTTTTTAACAACCGATATTTATACAATATTATTTTAAATAAATTTTACGATTTTACATAATGTTGCTGCATCGGAAAATGATAACTGTTAGAATTTTCAATAAAAGTAAAAGATGTGCCGATCTCCTTTTTAATATGAAAATGTAGTTTTTCGAGAAATCGTGAAATAAATTTGAATTTAAAGATTGAAAGAAACCTAAGATTGGATTCAATTTATACATTACACAATTTAATAATAATTTGAAATATTCTCATTTGTAAACTTTTGATCTGAATTAAAAATCAAGTACATACTAGATTTTGGTTTCCTGGAATCGTTTAATCTAATATTAATTTTTATCGTATGAATAATATAGAATGATTTGCATTATATATTATCCCTAAATATATTACAATAGTAATTGAATTACCTGAGCATTTTTACATGTAAATATCTGAGCACTCATATAAAATTAAACATTTTATATATTTATAAAAAATATGAGGGATATATAGAAATATCCTGTTTCTTCGACTTTCCTTCTAATTATCAATTTCATTTATGTTTAATTTTCTATCACTATTAATTAATTCGTTTGTTTACAGTTATCACTTGACATTAATAATAAAATACATCAACGAATTGATCTATATCATTTGTTTTTGATTAATATCTTCTGTAATATATTTGTACAAGTTTTTGCCATATAAGAGATTTCAAGAATACCGGTAATCAAGAACTTGATATTATCGGAATATATTACTTATTTTCTGTATTTTGCATAATCAAACATGGAAATGTGTAATATAGTAATATATTCTACACATATTTACTTTGATTTAGACAGGACAACTTGCAAATTACGTTTGTATATATACACAATGTTTTTAGTTATTTTTTCTTCGCCAATACGAATAATTTATTTATTTATCATTAGTTTCTATTTGTTCACTCTATTTATTATATATCTAATATGAAATCTGCTGTCTTAATATGAAAGTTCGAGTATCATATTTAAAATGTTCGACTTACTCGATACATTGTTTCCTTCCAACAAGTAACGATTTTTGTATAACAAACTTAAAAATATTGCTGGTACGTAGTTTACATATTATTTTTTGTTTTCTTTTTGCTCAAACGATTCAAAACAACTTGAATATTTTGTTTCTTTCAAATCGCCTTGGCTTAACAAAAAACTTTCACGCATATAATTTATCATCGCCATAAAAATTCCAGGTTGACGCATAAAGCACCTTCCTAAATTCCCAATATTATTTTCCGATTTGCATCGCTAATTCAACAACGTGTTTATATTGATTTTATTAATATATTCCTAATAATCGATATGATAACTTAGTATTTAACATGTGTAATTTTATTCAAGGCATCCGTTTCTGATAGAGGTATCTAATTAAAGGTAACATTGCCTGACTTTGAAACACTTGGAACTGTAAATATTTATGAATTAATTGTCAGTGAAATTAACTTTATCGCAAAGCTAGCACCCGCATTGTAATTATAAATGTTGCAGACTATGCAAATCGGTTTGGGATGACGTACATTAGCTGAATATTTTACTGGCTTAATTATTCACCAACTTATTTTTTGTAATTAAACACATTAATGTATCAAGTTAATTACTGAGTGCATTCAATTTTTTATTAAACTTTTAATTAATTTGCTTCCTATATTAATGAGAGTTCCTATAATAATCCGCAGACAGCTGCATTATGTTAACGTCGTCTCAATATAGACATTAATGACGATGACAACATCAATAAGAAAAATTAACACTTATTAATAATGATTAGCCTGCTTATATATAATATAAATATGAATTGTTTTTTATTGGTTTCAAATTAAAACTTTCAATTTTTCTAAATGTTTTGACTACTTAGATGGCCATAATGTGGCTACTTAGATGACCATATCTGTATCCACTGAGGATGACATAAATTTATCAATATTTTATTTGATGATTGAATTTATTAAAATAGCGTATCGCAATTCTACTAAAACAATAAAATATGAAGAAATCGTAGTAAACATCTATCGAAAGTCTCTTTTTACCGATGAGCCGTCTTTCTCATCCGATCATAAATTAGACGCTCGTAGCCTTAACTATCGACCGCTCATATATTTTTTATAATAATTTTATAATTCTCGGGTTAATTAAAACAATCTATAATCTTCGAGATAAACGTTTTCGATCTAATCAGGATCTTTACCGCCGAAGAACAAAAGAAAAGTGTCAATAAACATGTCTTTGGAGACTCTAACTCAGCACGAGGCTGATTGTGAAACCAAATGCGGTCATCTCTTTTCGGAACGAAAAAAGGAACTTTACGGAACCCTGGAGAGAAATTTCGACGGGGTTCCATGAAAAATAAATATAAATATAATTACATATGTTTAATTACCATTATATAAACACGTATATTTAGTTAAATTATGTATAATTTTTATGAAATTCTAGACACGATATACTCTCATTTGTTCTTGGTATCAGATCGTTATTCGCTACGTCCATATATGATACATTTTTGATATATAATCTATATATCTTTCAAAATCTTTGCATCCTATTCCTCAAATTTTACATATTAAAAATATTTGACAACATGTGTGCCAACATTTAACACATCGAACTAAGAAAACAAACGTACAATAGGTACATTGTACGTTTGTTTTCTTAGTTCGATGTGATTTGTTAATTAAATAATAAAATTTTAAATTTAATAAAAATGAACTAAAACCATATTGCATGTTACTGATCATTTTTCGATCAACTACCACCATTTCTGATAAATTCGACACTTTAATTTTTATTCTATGAAGTTAGTGGAAAAATCTTCCTTAAACTTGCAAGCAATATTTTGTGTTGTTTTATACAAACTGAAATGAATGAATCGCAGAGAGTAAATTTTTGGCATTTTTAGAATATCATATAAAATCACGATTTACAATTTCAAATGCTTCGGGAATAAAATTTGAAGAAAACTAGTATGATTCTGCAAATATATAAATTTTGTTAAACTTTTGTCAAACCCAAACGCGGAAATATACACACTTATTTATCCATAACTTATCTATAATATCCATTTACATAATTAAATATAACATAGTGTTGGTTTCACCATTCTCAAAATTTGTTTTTTAACTATTGGTTAAAATTTTTCAACAAAGTTAATTATTACTTATTTGGAATCGGTTTACATATATGCAGATTTCGGCGCTTGTGTAAATGGCACTTTCTGATAATAGACATTCATTAATATTACTTATACTATATATATTATTATTAATCATAATACATCAGTTCCTGCTAATTTTCATGACGTTTGCGTGCGTCAAACTAATCCTATTACCACATGCTTAATATTTAAATCGTTGCTAAATTTGTAAAATATAAATATGATTATTTTTAATCAAGAGATATGTAAGGTTGCGGCCTGTTTTTGTTTTGGTAAAGTGAAACAAAAACAATAGTTTTTATCTGATAGAATTAATATAAAAATCCCCTACCTATACCTATATGTATTCAACTTCTACGCACAAGTTTAATGTTCTAATAATGTTGTTTCGGCGAAAAAACGCACGTTTCACTAAATTAACATACAAATTTAAAAAATATACATACAATATAACTAAATTATTTTTGAAACCAGAAGGATCAGGAATGTAATAAAATTTGAGACAAAAGGAATATTTATTCCAATGAGATTTGAAATGTCTCCAAGTTCAGCCGCCGTTATCTAGTTTCTCAGATCACAATTTTTTATCATAAATGATCTATCAAATCTCATTCAAGGTCCAAAAAATTTGGTGTAGGAGACTTAATAGACTTCCAAAGAAACGCCTAGATTCCGACATCCTCATTTCTAAGAAAACACCTGGTCATTTAAATCATTATTGGTTATTACAAATCAATGTCTGGAGACACGGCATTGATGATCGTGTAGAATTTTGTTGGCACTTTCATAAAAAGACAGGGTTTGATTTTTAAAACGGTTGAAATTTTATAATAATCACATAATAATTTATCAACATTAAAAGCATTGTTATAACAATATGTATAATTTTTTTGTCAAAATTTAATCACATATTAAAAATTAATTCAGTTATAAGATACTAAGGTTGGCTTTAAAATTTCTAAAGAATGAAGGAAGAGAAAAAGATTCCAACCAGGCGTTCTTCTTCTAATGTGAGTCTGACCAATATTCTTAAAGATATATCTTTTTATATTCTCTAAGGTCTCACAGTTTTTTATTTTCCGTTCTTCTTCAGTTCTGCATTTTAAAATTCCACTAATAGAATTCCATTCTATTATTTCTTCTTCCTTGAGGCCCAGGCCTCTGATCTATACAGAGTGATCTTCTAAAAGCTTCTGCACTTCACTGATAAATTTGATTATTCTTGCTCGTCTAAGCCCTGGATGAGTCTTTTTTTTATTTCCACTAACACCTGGATATTCGTGCGGTCACGACAGGTAATCATGACTAATAACTACGTTTTATGTTTTTTATATATAAATAGACTGTGCGAGAGTTAATT